AAAAAAGCTGGACACTGCAATCCTTGAGACTTAGGAGGCTGAGGCAAGAGGATCCCAAATTCAAGGCCAGCCTCAGCAACTCAGTGAGACTCTCAGGAACTTAATGAGACCTTTTCTCAAAATACAAAACAAAAAGAAGGACTAGGGATGTAGCTAAGTGCTACAACACCCCTGAGTTCAATCCCCAGTACTAAAAAAAATAAAAGAAGTAGGGCATGTTGGCATATGCCTATAATCCCAGTGATTCTGGAAGCTGAGGCTCATAAATTCAAGAATAGCCTTGACAACTTAATGAGACCCTATCTCAAAATTTTAAAAAAGGGGTAGGGATATGGCTCAGTGGTAAAGGGCCTCTAGGTTTAATTCCTAGTACCCCCACACACACCCCCAAAAGGAGGAAGGAAATCGACATTTGGCAACTATCATAAAAGAAAGTGATTCAGGCAAGAATCATTATTTTTTTAGTGGGGGGTGGGGTGGGGTAGGTGGGACATAATACTGGGGATTGAACTCAGGGTATTCTACCACTGAGCTACATCCCCAGACACTTTTGTGGGGGTGAATGAGTACTAGGGATTGAACCCAGAGGCACTTTATCACGGAGCTACATCCCCTACCCTTCTCATATTTTTTTTTAAAAATTTAAAAAAAAATATTTATTTTATTTAGTTTTCGGAGGACACAACATCTTTGTATGTGGTGCTGAGGATTGAACCCGGGCCGCACGCATGCCAGGCGAGCACGCTACCGCTTGAGCCACATCCCCAGCCCCCTTCTCATATTTTTGATACAGGGTCTCACTAAGTTGTCCAGACTGGCCTTGAACTTCCTACATCAGCCTCCCAAGTTGCTGGGATTACAGTGTAGCACCTAGCTTTAATCAATGGATCCTAAAAGCAATGTGGAAATACACTGTCAATACTATAGTTACTAGCCATAAGTAACTATTTCTCATCAATTAAAATTAAATGAAATTAAAAACTCAGTTCTGCAGCAGCACTACCCATATCTTAAGTGTCTGACAGCTAAAAGTGATCAGTGGTCATCATATTGGACAATGCTGATTCTAGAACACTGCTATTACTATACAAAGTTATACTGAAAAGTACTGGTTATGGGATATTTATATAGTCCCAAAGTACTTCTCTCCACAGAATACCTCCCTCATAACTACAAAGTATAAAGTATCTTTCTTTGGGGGGGTGGGGGTGGGTTGGTACTGGGGATATGACTCAATGGTTAAGCACTCTTGGGTTCAATCCCTGGTATAAAAGGGTTTTGGTTTTTTTTGTATTTATTTTTTAGTTACAGGTGGACACAATATCTTTATTTTATTTTTATGTGGTGCTGAGGATCAAGCCCAGTGTCTCACACATGGTAGGCAAGTGCTCTACCTCTGAGCCACAACCCTAGTTCCCCAATTTTTTTTTAAAAGTTAGGTTAGGGGTGAGCCCTAAATAAACTTTCCTCCTCTAAAATTGTTCTTATTAGTTATTTTTGTCACAGCAGTGAAAAAGCTAACTAAAACAGGGGTATTCTACAAATAGTCCTGTACTCTTCAAAAATGTCAGTGGAGAAGCTGGGGGGTATAGTTCAGCAGGGAAGCATGTGCTTAGCCTGGGTTAGATCTCCAGTGCGGGGAACAATAAGACTATGTTCAAGAACACAAGTGATCTGGGACTGGGGTTGTGGCTCAGGGGTAGAGTGCTGCCTAGCACATGTGAGGCCCTGGGTTTGATCCTCAGCATCACATAAAAATTTTAAAAAAAATGTATTTTGTCCAACTACAACTAAAAAATAAATTCTTTTTAAAATAAAGAATACAAGAGATCTAATCTAGCTTGCCGTTATAACTGGATTTCAATCATGTGGCAAGGCATAACTATAATAAATGAAATCCAAAGTAGTTTCCAACCACCTTTACTGTACATTTTATTAATATCTAGTATTTTCAAAACAATTTATGTGGATTCTACAATGGAATTGTTCAACTGGGAAGGGCAGGGATAAAAGATGGACAGAACAAGTTCCATAAAGGGCATCAAAACAGAGTGGCAGAATTACTTCTGGTTTTTCTTTAGCACAGTAGGGTAACTAGTGTTTGTTTAATCTACAACAGCAAGATGAGGAGGTCCATGCCTACAATACCAGCTACCCAGGAGGCTGATGCAGAATGATCCTAAGATTGAGGCCACAGTAGGCAATTTAGTGAGACCCTTTTCTCAAAATAAAAAATAAAAAGAGGGCTGGGGATATAGCTCAATG